GACACATTCTTGACACTGTTGACATAATAATAGAATTATTTGAATAAAATTTATATGAATTTACAAATTTTACAATTTTCAGAGAGTTCTGACTATGATACGAAAACTAAGGAGAGGGGTGATTTATTTTGATAAAATATTAGTGTGTACTTTTTTTCAAAGATTAGACTGGAATTTGATTCATTATAAAATATAAAATATTATTGCATTCACATGAAATAGTTGAAAAAAGCAGAGAAACACAGTCTCTTCTCCAGAATTTGAATCTGGATTTAACACCAATATTCATTAGCATTATCTTTGCAGGCATAAATGGGCCAATTCAGTATTGTAAATGGATAATATTAATGATGCAGGAAGAATGAAATTCAATTAATTATATAAGAGTAATATACAAGTTTGAGGTCATTATTCATTTCCATTACATTATTTCTAATTATTTAAAATTGAATTAATTCTGTGGCAAGCAATGTATGTGCTGGTCAGCATTCATTGTTGATTTGACATCAAAAGAACAATGTTATTATGAATCAGCATCTCTATGACAAGTACATTCGATTTTTCTGGACAGTAAGGTGTCTAAATCTATACTGTTTTCTACAGAATGTGTAGTAAATCCCCATTGCATTTGAAAAGACTACTAAAACAGTCTTTGTCAAAAAAATATTTATTCAGTCAAATATGACAAAGTACATAGGAGTTATTGCTTAAGGGATGAAATGCCTTTTTGAGGAATTTTTATGGGAAACTAATTTATACTTCCATTACAAATTCATATATATATATATATATATATATATATATATTGCCCTTGTCTATTGCTTGGAATGTTTAAGATTTAGAACTTGCTAGCCGCTAGACTTACTTAGCATTATTTCAAGAAAAAATATTTTGTTATGATGCATGATCAGACAAGGGTGAGATTTCATTTCTTGATAAAAAGTAGTGTTACAGTCTTTCAAAATCCAATGCGTTGTAGAGTTATTAGGCATTATGTTTGGAGAAGATTGAACTTGATAGATACCTGTAACAAGTTACCATTTTGTTCATTTGGCATGAAATAATTGCCTTCTGTCATAAATTCGATACTGAATAATGATCAGTACCATTGGTATTTGTCATATACTCCCGGAGATGGCTTTTTTTTTTTTTTTTTTTTTTTTAAATGGGTAGATTGTGAAAACTTTTGTCTTGGCAGGCCAAGTAGCAAACTCGGAAAAATTTACATGTAAAGCCAAACATAAATATTGATGTAAAATCTAATTACTTGACAGCAACCCTTATGATATATAAAGCATCATGTTAAGAATAATTATTTTATGTGTAATGAATAATATATATGGTGTTTAATCTATGCAGTACCAAGGCTGATGGGAAGAACAAAGCTATTGTTCATAAACAGGAATCGGTTTTGACCTGAGAAAACAGAAAAATGCACAAATTCGGCATCAAGGCCAACTTTACCATCATGCATGTTAAACATAATATATGTTGTTAATTATACAAGTGTTCATGATGCGATATAAATAAACCACCATATTTGCTGCTTTGGCATACATTTAGCAACTGTCACTTTGTTAACAGAAGAGTGCCTTTTTTTTTTATTAGAATGTGTTGCTTTTAGTTTATACACATATATTGACTACTTGCATACTATTTGTACATATTTTCCTGTTTGTCACAAAAAAGGGGGATAAAATATTTCTATTTATTTAAGCTTATAATAGGACACTAATGTACACTTTGCATTTCAATTTTTGAACTTATGCATTTTTCAGTACTTGCACGTTAATGGAAAAAAAGCCAAAATTTGTCAGAAAAGAGTAGTTGCCAACTTTGGCACCATAACACAAATTAGTCAATAATACATATGACTTAGTCATATATAATACATGTGACTATGTTAAATATGACTTTGTTGAGTTTTAAGAATGCCTATAAGCGATAGTTTGAGAACTCCCCCTCCCCCGAGCTTGTAGTTCAGTCATGGGTTTATAGTATCTGCCAAATGATGAAGTGGATGCTATAAGTTTCTTAGAAGAGTATAATACACTGTCAAGTAATAGTCATGTTCCAATTTGCATGAAATGAGGTTTATTTGAGTCAACTGAAGAGAGCGTAGTGATGTTCAAACGGCAGGAAATTGATGGGAATGTAAGTTGGCAACAGGTTTGCAGCAAGTAGATTAGCAGTAGCTACTGCCATCAGATTCATCTAATCCTGATCTAAAAAAGTGACATCAATACAATTTTGCGTGGAAGACCTCAACATGGCTGAGAGAAATGTATACTTTGCTTAAAATTTAATTCCCTTATATCCCACAGTAGGTTTCTTTTTTATCACATTTATTTGCATTTTTTATAAATCTGTACTGAATTTCAGTTGAGACAGACAGTATCAGTTATTCAATTCACTCACCAGTTCGTAGTATAAAAATAGAGCTAACAATCATAATAATTTTAAAAAGTAAAAAAAGGAAAAGAAAAAATTATGTAGTACCTCGATGAAAGTTTGCAACTGGCATCCAAGCACTGTTTCTCCACCACATATATACATATTTCAGTCAATTATTCCACAAAATGGTTGTTGCTGTCAACAAGTAAATTGCAATCATTGTTTAGATCAGATTAAAACTTTTTGAGTCGCAGCGCCCTAAACATGCCAATCAGAAATTGTGCTCCACCGTGAGCAAGTCTTAACCTAGAGTATAGACAGGCTACTGAGCCAGCAATATCAATTACACAATTCACTCACCACTTCATAGCATAAACACAGCTAACAATCATAATTTTAAAAAAAGGGGGTGGGGTTATGTAGCACTTCAATGAAAGTTTGCAACTGGAATCCAACGACTGTTTGCCCAACCCATGAGTCACAGCCCCCTAAACATGCCAGTCAAAAATTGTGGTCCACCATGAGCAAGTCTTAACTCAGAGTATAGAAAGCATACTTTTAATTTAATTTAATTTTGTATTTATTTTATTTATATTAAGTATGTAAAAAAAGTAAAAGAAACTTTGACAGTAATTGTAAAAAGAAAATCATGTAGAAGGTCTATATATTCAATATTCATCTAACATAGTCAGTTTGTGCTTGAGTTTTGTAGTTTGTGCTTTTGGAAAAGGAATCAGGCTGCAAAAAGAGAAAGCAATAGTATATTTAAAAAGGTCCCATCAGCGGTCGAGTAGTAAAGTCGTTGAACACTGGTAGTTCGACTTGCATTCAATTCCAGGTGAATGAGCAGTTTTGGGGATTTTCCATCATGTGTAACTTGGATACAAGCCAGCTTCTTTTAAAATGTCCTTCACGAAGGAATCGCTGTCCTTAGGCAGATAGCCCACAAATGCTTTGCCAGGTAAACCAAACTATTATATTTAAAAGAAATTGTGAAATAAGTTTATGCAAGTTTTTTAAATGCACTATTAAAAATAGATAAAAAAAATATAAAAGTTGATATTTTCAAAAAATATATTATTATTTTAAAATTTCTACATAAAATATTTTTCCTGTCATTTATGTATATTATATCATTTTTCTCTGAAGGTTAATTTATTTCATTATTTTAATTTTAAACTAGTTAAATTTTGCAAAGAACCATCTGTTTTAAATCTTTCTACATTTTACCAGTTTCCAGTAAGTTAATTTAGTTTTTCCCCCACATAGTGTTATTTATTTCTACTTCCAAATCTTTGTTTTCAGTTTTCACATGATATTATAGCATTATCATTTTACACCTACAGCAGTATTCTTTAATGCCACTATCACATTTATTCCTGGCACCTCAAGACCATGCTTACCTTTCTTAGAAACTTTGGTTTTAGGCTTTTAGCTATGTTCTTTATAAAAATTTGATGCCGTTGATGGATTTGCTCTTTCATGATAGTTCAGTTCCACTGTTTCGAAAACTAATTTTTCACCCTTCAAAAATTAAAAAGGGGAAAAGAAACCAAGCTCATTAAAAAAAAAGCTTTTTGATAACAATATTCTTCAGAATAAAATTTTCAAAGGGGGGGGGAACTGAAATGTTTCAGATTTTAAATTACGTCTAAAGGGGTGTTTTTTTAACGTTTTGTGTGTTACCTTTATTTATTAAATATCATGTTCTTAAATCTCTGTAAACCATAAAATTTAGTTCAATAGCAATGTCGCAAAATAATTTCAAAATGATCATATTTTTAGAATTTCCGATACACAGTTCAGCGCGCTGAAGATAAAAAGGTCCCCCCCCCTTCCCAGCGGTATAGTGTTTCCATTGCTCACTTTTAAATCGTTGAGTTTGTTACTTAAAAATTCGTTAAAGTTTTACAAATATGAAATCAATAATAAAACGAATTCCAAATTTCAAATTTGGGATTTCAGATGCCCATATATTCGAAGTAGGATCACGTCATTCAAAATTATATGGCTCTAGATACCGTTGTTTTATCACAATGCAAGAAATATACATACATGTGTGCAGATTTTCATTATTTAATTTCTTCAAATATAATGCAGGACTCTAACATTGTGTGGCAACAGTTTGAAAAGTGAACCGACATTTATAGGAGTCCGATGCAAAATGCCAAAATGAAAGTAATAGTCCTTTGCGACTCAAATCCCTTTGGACTAAAAATATAGAGAAATTTAATTAGTTAAGAAATTTTATCAGGTGATCACAATTTTAAAGTGTTCAGGTTTGATCACCTAGAAGCATCTGCTTTGCTATGACAAAGGTCATCTTGACCATTCCAACCTAACTGGTTATGACACTCAAAAGGTTAAATTTTTCTTCTGTTGACTAAAATGAGAACTATTACCTTTTCTTATTAAACTGGAATTTCTGGTATGATATGCACTTTAATAATGCAGATGAAACTTATTTTAATAAACACACATGTATGAACATATAAATGTGTATATCTGCTTTATGGCATTTATTTTAATTTTTGTGTTTTATAAATATCGCATTTTATGATTTTTTTAATGAATTAAGTAGATTGGAATTTTATTTTATTTTTCAGAACTGGAAAAATGAGTTTCATAAATGGTTGGGCAAATCTAGATTGCAAATATTTGCCATAGATAAAAAACATACAGTTAAAGTAAGTTCTTCAAATTAAGTATTATATATTTAGCATTTTCCCTCTGATAAACAAGTTTCATTTTTCTGCATTTCAGAATTTTATGAGTTAGAATTTGTTCTGAATGCATTCTGCTTTTCTTGCAGGAGTATTCTGAATCTCCTAAGAGTATACTTATAATTTCCTATGAAATGTTCTTACGATCTGCTAAATTGCTTTCTTCCATCAATTTTGACCTGGTTGTTTGTGATGAAGGCCATCGCATAAAAAACTTGAACATAAAAATTTCTAATGTAAGTGTCTAATGTGACATAAAACAGCAAACTTGGATAAGATCTATTATGAAATTTATAAAACTATAATATTATATATGCTGTTTCTCTTTTTAGGTTGTCAATTGTCTTTCAACCACACGTAGAATTTTATTGACTGGAACACCAATACAGAATGATTTAGCTGAATTTTTTTCTATAGTTGATTTTGTCAATCCTGGGACACTTGGTATTCAAGATTTTTTAAATTTGTCCATTACTCTGTTAGTTATATTAAATTCTATTTTCTTTTTAATGTCAAAAGATTCATACAGTAGAAGACCAAATCTACATACCTCTCAAATGTAAAAGGAAGTTTGCGATTCATAAGTGGTAAAATTACAAAACTTTTGATTTGGGATTTTTTTTCTTTTAGTCCACTTTAAAAAATGTGTGATTAAGTTTATGGCCATAATGAATTTTATTGAAACAATGTGATAAGATTGACTTTATTTTGAGTTTAGTTAAATCAGATGAAGTCTAAAGTAAAAAAAAGTTGCTCTTTTATGTGAAAGAAATGATGAAAAGTGAACAAATACCTCAAAAAGAGGTATTATGCATTTGCTGAGAAATCTGGGTGAATACTTCTATCAAAAGAATAATGTTGAAATCGTTGCTAAAGTAAGAAATGCAAGAAGATTCTTATCATGCTGACATCCCCCCCTCATTAGTAGGCACTCAGTCAACATAGACTTGGCCACTTTACAGTGGAAGCACCTAATAGGTAATACTGTTACCTCGTTTGGAAAAATGGACAATTACAGCAATGCCTTCTCCAAGATTTGAACCCTGGCCCAATCATGCCGGCATAGAGAACATTAAATAAATCTCTTTTGATAAAAGTTTGGCTTAAAGGGCCCACCAGCAGAAGAAAAATGTTTGAAACTTTAGAACAAAAGGACTGTATGATTTGTCAAAAATAATTCAGACCTTGAGCATTCTGAAATTTTAAAATAAACTGCAAGAAAACAAATCTTTATTTTTTATTCCTGTTTTTCTTTTCATAAAAATTTTGTTTTGCTCTGTTGAAAAAAAGGTAAAAAAAAATTAATTGCTTCTATATGCCATTTCTATTTTTTATTTTTAGTCTAAAATTAGCAAATCTTTCATAACCTGAAGTTTGCAAAAGTCTAAAATCCACATTGTCCTGTCACAGGCTGTGCAGATTTATGTTTTTCTCCTCTATAATATTTTTAAAAATATAGTGCCATTATTACTTTTCACCATTAATTTCATCTCAGTTTCATTTCAAAAGTATCTTTAAATATATTTTCTCATATTTCTTTTGAGCTTAGAAATTAAAAACTAAATAAATTAAATTTATTTATTAATTAAATTAAATTTACTTTATTTATTATTTATTTGAGACCACTCTTACTTGAATTCTTGCTTTAGCTCAAAGGAAAATTAATTTTGATGCATTAAAAAAAGATTATATTTATTTAACACATAAATAAAACCAAACTCCTTAATTTTCCTAATAATCAGTTATAAAATAGTTTTTTAAATTATTATTATGACTTAGGGAATTATAAATCATTCATAATTTACTTTTTTTTTTTAAAGTTTGAATCAAAATTTCTATAGGTATTATTGTACTCTTACTTGATGTCTTCTTAAGAATTAGAATTACATGTATACTCATATATTCATGATCTCTTCTTAAGAATTAGAATTACATGTATGTTCGTGTATTCATGATCTCTTCTTAAAAATTAGAATTACATGTATGTTAATATATTATTGCAAATATACTATTGCAAAATAAACACTTAACAAAATAAATAAATAAAAAATAAAGTTCCTTTAAATATTTTTTCTTGCAAAGAGACTCGTTGAGAAACTTTCTCATGCAGTGCGTAATTTTCACTTCTAATGTAATAGCATAATTAAAAAAAAAAAGTGAAGAAGTTGGAATGTCTATCATCAGTGTCACTTAGGATAGTTATTCACTGGTTTCTGTTATGTTTACAAGATAATGGGGAATAATGAATGTTGAAACTCTTGTTTGTGTGTAAAGTATCCAGACAGAAGACTCAAAATTCATTATTTCCCAGCAAGATTACTAAGACAAGTGACTTTTCTATAACTTCTCTCAGAATAATTGCAAATTATTTCAGCTGTCATATGCTGTATAAAAAAAGAGCATAGTGATAAATATATGAGATCAACAAAATTGTCTACCTGTTATCTGAGAATATTTCTTAGCAAGAGAGATGAGTGTTATATTTCCATTTAGATATACAAGAGTTTCAAAGAGATTAAGATGAGAATATTTCATCTTCCTGTAATGTATAAAAAATTTTACTTATATTTGGATTTGATATCATTTGTATTTTGCAGTAATATTAATATTTTATTTCTCAACAAATTTATTATCAATATTCATTCATTTCTGTCCTTTTCGTGCCCAAAACTGTAAAATAACGGATGTCGTAAGCACGCATGCTCATGTAAAATTGCCAAGAGTGCGTGCTGGAAGGTTAAATCAAATATTTGATAGAAATGTCATTGGTTTTAGAGCATTCTTTCATAAATTTTAGTGTGACTGAATATAAAGCATCTTCTTCAACATATATACTTTCTGCAAGGAAGCTACTCAGATATCTTTGACGCTTGCATGCTAAAGTAATCTTAAATATCCTTCTACTTGTTATAAGCCTAGTTAAACTGTTACATTCACTTTTTTTCTCCCCCAAAGGTTCCATACAATGTTTCAGAAGAACATTTGAGAAACCAATTGTCCTTTCTCGAAATCCAGAATGCACTGAACAGGAAAAGGAATATGGTGAAGAAAGACGTGAAGAACTTAGTAAAATAGCAAATACCTTCATGCTACGTCGAACACATGATGTCATTCATAAATATTTGCCCCCAAAGTGTGAGTAGATCTCACCAGTTTCTCCCTTGAAGAAATTTTATAATTAACTTGTATATTAGTTCTTCAAATATTTAAGTTTCGAATTAGTAGACATAAAATTTATATCATATCATGATCCTATGTATGGGAAACTATAAGAGTTAACTACATATGATGGAATTCAAAATCATAGTGATTAAGATCAAATCATTTATATAAAAACTAGAAAGTCCGGCAGTCATACGAAATGACTGCTGTTCTAGATATTATAAATTGTTATTAAAATGATTTGTGCAAAGGTGTCTGCTAATTCAAACTGAATTACCCAGGACAGGCGTCAAGGACGCCTCTTTGCTTACTGCCCGATGGGGGTTCCCCCTTCTACTTGCTTAATTGCTTAAAGTAGAATGCAATGAAGGAAACCACTGGCGGTACATTTCTTAAGAGCCACCGCTAGCTCAATAAATAAAGGTGATTTAAATAATAAAATGTTAATTCACATGTCAAAGATCTCTTTGTACACAACATTTCTTGTGTAGATATTTCCATCATTTTAAGCTCGCCTTGCAGAGGACCATCAACTATTCTTAATTTTACATCTGTTCTTTCACGAACTCTTGAACAGGCAACATAAAGTTGACCGTGCCCAAATGCATGCTAATAAACTATCGGCGACAAACACTTAAGCCACATATATATAAGATAAGTGACAGTGCTGTGGAAAATTTTAAAGGAATTAGTTATGCATATCATTTTATTTTGAAAAAGCTGACAACAAACATTTCATATTTTCTGTTACAACATTTTTCATTGTAAATTTCTGCCTCACATGATAAGTAAGACGATGATGAGAAATAAATTTATGATTAAAACTATGCTGATAAAGTAGTAAAATTATTTTTCGTAAATTTAACAATTGAACCTGATTTCGCGAACAGTTTGGCTGCAGGGCCGTTTTTATGGTTTTTTCTGTATGTAATGTGTATATGAACCAGTTTCCTTTAGAAAGTCCTCCATGAAGGCATCCCTACACTTAGGCAGATAGCCCTCGAAGCATTGCCGTAATCACGTAAACTAAATCTTTTGATCTTGCTAAGAATCATATATAAAGTATAGGGAAACCTTGGTTCATGAATAAATTATTAAAAAAAGAAAAAAAAAAAAAAAAAAAAAAAGCAAGCCTCGAATGACATATGTCGTCTCAAGAATGCTTGAGTCAACAACAATGATTTTCAGAGCTGCTTTGAGGTAACCTGTGACACAGTATAAACATATAAGAATTTCTAAAAGCATAATTTTAGCATTATACATTGCTTAAGTCTCATTTACAAAGCTTCTACAAATATTTGTAAAATTCAGGCACGCCCACTTCAATGAATTTTGCTTTCAAATTTGAGTTGCATTGAATCTCGATCACCTCCATTTGCATATGGCTGGGTACTGAATCAATACTTATTGAGAAAATCGAAGAAAACAAAAAAAAATTTGTCTTTGAGGGAACTAAAATCATTAAACCTCGTTTCAAATTCAGTTGTTCAATTTGCAATTTCTTCTGATACGAACAAGTATCATCTAAACTTCATTTGTTCATGCTGCACATCGGGAAGTGCGCCAAATCTTCATTTTTAAGTTGTTTTTCCCAAAGAACTAGTTGACATTTGAATGCTTTAATTATGTCAAACATGTTCGTAATGATATGATCTTTTCCTTGTAACGATAAATTTAAATCGTTAAGTGTTTTGGTTATATCAACCAAGAAAGATAAATCTTGTATCCGAATTTTGGATCGTAAAACAAACTTACGTCTTGATTTTTCGTTTTTAAAAACTGACATATTTCTTCTTTCAAATCCCAGAATTGTTTGAGAATCTTGGAGCAAGATAACCAACGTACCTCGGTATAGTAGGACAAACCCGAATATTCACTATCTAACTCACTTAAGAAAGCAGTGAATTGACGCTGATTTAAACCTCGAGATCTTATAAAATTTATTACTTTTTTTATATATGATAAAACATTCTCCATATTTATTACTTTCGTGCATAGAACTTCTTGATGTATAATACAATGCATATGATGAATGTGTAGTGGCCCAGTTATTGCATGAGAAATAATTATTTTTTATTTCATATATTTGTTCATGTGTTTAATTATTTTTATAAAATTAACTTTAATATTTTGTTAATATTCATATTTATATTTCTTTTATGCTGAATGGCAATAAGTAGTTCATATTTATATTTAAATTTCTTTATGCTGAATGGCAACTAGTTCTAGTTCTGATTCATGATTGCTAGGTTTTGGTTTCAAAACGTTGCTTGTAGCGTCGCATTTCGATAGCTGGAAAATAAAATGCAATAACTTAGCTATTTGTTTATAATTCATGCTGTTACTAGTCATAAATTAATTTTAAACATTAGTAGCCAAGGCTACATCGTGGTGACCCTGATTAATTTTCGAAATGTCAACAAATGACTCTTCTGAAACTGCTATGAAAGATACGATGCAGTCACCGGAGCTTCATAAGGTGAGTGTAAAAATACCTCCTTTTTGGATTGATAAACCGGAAATATGGTTTTTTCAAGTTGAAGCTCAGTTTAAAATTAGTAATATTGTTACAGAAGAAAAGAAATTTAATTATTTAGTTTCACAGCTTGAACCTAAGTTCGTCGAAAATATTTGGGACATTGTAACGAACGATAGTGCCACAAAATATTCGGATGCTAAAATTAGGTTATTACATTTTATTCAAAGAAAGTGAAAATGTACGGATTAAACGTTTGATTACTGGTATCGAACTTGGAGACATGAAACCAAGCCAACTTTTGCAGAAGTTGAGATCAGTTGCTACTACAGATGTGTCTGAAAATCTAATCAAAACTTTATGGCAGGAGAAGCTACCTGACTCAATAAAAATATAAGTGATGAAGATGTAACCAAGTTAGCGTCTATGGCAGATAAAATTAGTGATATGAATCGGAAACCAGAAGTATTTAGTGCTAATGCTCCTTCCGTTCCCGCAAATGATTTGTTGCAAAGAATTACCTTTCTTGAACAAAAAATTGATCAAATAACCATTCGCTCAAGACGCAGGGACTCGGATTTACGTAATTCACGTTCACGATCTCGAAGCCGATCTCATAAACGATATGACCCTACTGGCAAATTTTGTTTTTATCACTTTCGTTTTGGAGCAAAATGCATTCCAGAGAAATGCAAGCCTCCGTGTGCTTGGATAAAAAACGATTTCAAAAACCAGGAAAACTCGAATCTGCAGTAGGTTCAGCGGCAAATGCTGCTGCAGAAAATATGAAGGATTGTCGCAAATTTCGTTTATTCGTTTGTGACCGAAGATCAAATTTGCACTTTCTTATTGATAGTGGAGCTGACGTAAGCATAATTCCTGCTACTTCACAGAATAAATGTAAAACTGAATATAAACTGTATGCAGCTAATGGCACAGATATTTCCACTTATGGCATAAAAACGCTAACTCTTGATTTGGGATTACGTCGTGATTTTCAGTTTCCATTCATAATTGCTGATGTCACAAAAGGTATTTTAGGAGCTGACTTTCTTCACAAATATAAATTGCTTGTCGATATAAATAAGAAAAAATTAATTGATGGCGTAACACAGCTTTGTGTCCAGTGTGATGTCGCTGCTATTTCCAGTGATTACTCAGTAACCACATTAAATAAATCCATAAAAATTTTCGATTTACTGTCGAAATATCCCGAAATTTCTAAACCTAACCTTTTTCCTACACAAATTAAACATGGTGTTACACATTTTATTACGACTGATGGTCAACCCGTTTATTCAAAGGCACGACAGCTCGATCCAAAACGCTTAGCTATAGCTAAAGAGGAATTTAAATTTATGCTTGACAATGGAATAATTCGTCCATCAAACTCCCAGTGGTCAAGCCCCTTGCACCTTGTTCCGAAAAAAGGAAAATGGTTCATATCGTCCTTGCGGAGACTAGGGGACTACCGACAATTGAATGCGCAGACGATTACATGATCGATACCCAATTCCTCGCATTGAAGATTTTCATCATATTTTAAGAGGTACAATATTTTTTTCTAAAATTGATTTATTCAAAGCTTATTTTCAAATTCCCATTGCAGAAGAAGACAAATGTAAAACGGCTATCATCACTCCTTTCGGTTAATACGAATTTAATGTAATGAGTTTCGGTTTAAAAAATGCTCCTGCAACGTTCCAAAGATTTATTCACGAAGTCTTTAGAGGATTAGAATTCGTTTTTTCCCTATTTAGACGATATACTCATTGCATCCAGTACCCATGAAGAACACGAAAATCACCTTAAATTAGTTTTCGAAAGATTACATACATTTGGGTTAAGAATTAATGTTTCAAAATCTGTCTTTGCTGTTCCCCAAATCGAGTTTCTAGGCTACCTAATTACACCTAAGGGTTCCCGTCCTTTGCCAGAAAGAGTTCAAGCTATTACTAACTACAAACGACCAGAAACAATTCATGAACTTAGAACCTTTTCTTGGAATACTTAACTTTTATCGTCGTTATATAAAAGGATGCAGCGAAGAATCAAGCATTGTTACATGCGTATATCTCAAGGGAGCTAAAAAGAGGGACAAACGTAAAATCGAATGGACTGAAGAAGCTGAAAAACAGTTTGAAACGTGCAAGAATGACCTGGTGAACACGGCACTGTTGTCTTTTCCCAATTCTGAATTACCTCTGGCGTTATTTACAGATGCTTCAGATATGGCGATTGGCTCAGTGTTGCAACAATATGAAAACTCCTCGTGGAAGCCAATAGCATTTTTTTCTAAAAAATTAAGTGATACTCAGCAAAAATATAGCACCTATGATAGAGAACTATTAAGCATATATCTTTCAGTTAGACACTTTAAGCATTATCTAGAAGGAAGAGTATTTACAATTTATACAGATCACAAGCCCTTAATATTCGCCTTTCGTCAAAAACTTGACAAAGCAACACCTAGACAGGCTCGCCAACTTCAATACATCTCCCAGTTTTTCGACTGATATCAAATATTTAAAAGGTGAGAATAATATTGTGGCGGATACATTATCTAGAGTTTAATGAAATTTCATCGATAGATTATGATAAAATAGCTGATGAACAAACTCAAGATGAAGACTGAAGAGTTTGCAAACCACTACTTCCTTCCTTGAATTTAAAGCAATGTTCTCTACCTTCAGGGAAATATTTGTGGTGTGATACATCAACTAAACATATTCGGCCGTATATTCCTCAGGCTTTCAGAAAACACGTCTTTCAACGAATTCATGGTTTATCACATCCAGGAATAAAATCGACTATGAAATTAATGACATCAAAATTCATTTGGCCTAACATAAAAAAGATGTACAGTTGTGGACAAGAACCTGCATTCCTTGCCAAAAAGCTAAAATCAGTCGGCATACCAAAACAAAATTAGGTGAGTTTGAAGTACCACCAGGAAGATTTTCTGTCATCCATATCGATCTCATAGGACCACTTCCACCATCTAAAGGGAATATTTATTGTCTTACTTGCATAGATAGATTTTCGAATTGGATGGAAGCAATTCCTTTAGAAAATATTTCTGCTGAGAACGTCGCAAGAGCCTTTTATAGCAACTGGATTGCGCGTTTCGGAACGCCAAGTAAACTCATTAGTGATCGTGGATCCCAATTTAAAAGTGATACATTACGAGCTTTGTCCAAAATCTGTGGCATCAATTTACAACACACTACTGCCTACCACCCCTCGTGTAATGGCAAAGTTGAGCGCCTTCATCGAACATTAAAAACAGCATTAAAAGCCCACAACCACATATCTTGGACGGACACGTTACCAACAGTACTTTTGGGTTTGCGTACTGCTATTCAAGAAGATACCAATCATAAATTGCGCAAGTAGTTTATGGCCAGAGTCTCAGACTTCCTGGAGAGTTTTTCAGCGAACCAAGTATCCAGACAGCATCGGAGACTTTTGCTAATAAACTCCAGAAACAGATGGAAGTTTTTGGACCGAGACTAATTCGTAAAAATTCATCTGAACAGATATTTGTCCATAAGGACTTAAAAACTTGTTCTCATGTGTTTCAGCGAATAGATCGGGTAAAAAAAACCTTTGGAACCTCCTTATGAAGGACCATTTCCTGTTATTGATCGCAAGGACAAATATTTTACTATTAGCATTAAAGGAAAACATGTTAATGTATCCCTGGATCGCTTGAAACCAGCATATATTTTAGCTGAGGAAAATTCTCAGTTGATACAACCTGACTACACTAATTTGCAAAGACCGGACTCAAATTCGGATGTGAATCAAAAACATTCTCGCACAGGCAGAACTATACGTTTACCTGTTAGATTCAAGGACTGACTAAATTATTTTGATAGTGGTTAACACTGCAATACTAGTTACTACCTATTTCTCCATCTTCGTAACGTAACTTAGTTACTGGTGGGGGAGTAGTGTAGTGGCCCAGTTATTGCATGAGAAATAATTATTTTTTATTTCATATATTTGTTCATGTGTTTAATTATTTTATAAAATTAACTTTAATATTTTGTTAATATTCATATTTATATTTCTTTTATGCTGAATGGCAATAAGTAGTTCATATTTATATTTAAATTTCTTTATGCTGAATGGCAACTAGTTCTAGTTCTGATTCATGATTGCTAGGTTTTGGTTTCAAAATGTTGCTCGTAGCGTCGCATTTCGATAGCTGGAAAATAAAATGCAATAACTTAGCTATTTGTTTATAATTCATGCTGTTACTAGTCATAAATTAATTTTAAACATTAGTAGCCAAGGCTACAAATGTTTGAACCGTGAATTTCACTAAGTTTTTTTCTTAGTAATGCTACGAAGCCCTTGTTTTTTCTGGTCATTGATGGAGTGCCATCTGTAGCTACAGAATTTAATTTTGCCAGAGGTAGATTGTATTTCTGCAGAAGTCCAAAACACAAGTAAATATATCTTCTCCTGTGGTAGTACCAGGCATCGGTATTAGTTCCAGTAATTCCTCAAAAATGTTAAAATTCTTGTCACAAGAATGAAGAAACACTGCTAATTGAGCTTTGCCACTAATGTCCGTGCTCTCGTCACAGGCAATGGAGAAACTTTCAAAACTAGATGATTTTACTTTGATCTGATCACTTAAATTCGCGGCTAAATCAGTAACACTTTCCGCAACTGTATTTCGAGACAATGAAATTGATTGAAAAACCTTCACATTTCCAGGACAAACAATTTCTCCAGCTTTCATTAGGCATTCCTTGATGAAATCACCGTCAGTAAAAGGCTTCGAATGTTTAGCTATCAACTCAGACAAGACATAGCTTGCATGTACCGCAGCTTCACTTTCTTGCAATACTTTACTAAACATGGACTGTTGCTTTTTCACTCCTAACTTGAGCTCTTTCAACTTTTCTTCTCTCATTAATCCTTCGTAATTGTTATATTTCGATTTGTGTTGTTCGTAATGACGTTTAATATTATATAACTTTGGTACATTAATAGTAGTATTACATATCAAGCAGATTATTTTATCTTTTATTTCACAGCAAAAATATTCTAATTCCCATTTTACTTCTAATATTCTATGTTCGTCAGCGATTTTTCGTTTAATTTTACTACCACTTGGTTTTGATATAGACATACTGAATACAAAGGGCTGGAATAAACACGGTTAACGTTAAAAAGTTAACAAAAATTTATTCTTTCCACAAGAGATAAATCAAAATGCTGAAATATTTCTTCAAAAACATTCTAACAATATCACAAAATGTCAAACGTTTAGCAAAAATCAATTCAAAACAGAGAAACTAATTCTATCTCACAGCGAAATCGCTACAAATCAATCTAGAGAGAACTACAGTTGTTTGTTCTCGGCTCTTATAAGCATTATATTTAATTTCTCGAATATACTGGAAACATCTATAAATATCTGGATTTTTGTGGATGGCAACAGCAATTACGAGATATTTATTTATTAGGTATTAAATGCACGCGCTGTTCTATTTTTAACCTTCTAACGCAGCTGTCTTTTCAAAAATCGTCTGCGTTGCTAAGGCAACATGAAGCAAATCTAATTACAATTCTAAATAAAAAAAACTAAATAAATAAATAACTATGAAATCCGTAACAATATGAATTAAGTAATAATTAATAATAAAGCAAAGTGCATGCACATGCATGCACCAATATATCGTACAAAACTATGATTGGGAAACTGAGACCATGAGTTCGGCCACATTCGGCTATCGGGGGATGCGTTCAAGTTCTGAGTGCACGTGTCCCCCAAAAGCCGAAGGTAGCTGAACGCAAGCTACTCACACGCATTTGTATAAGTAGTGTGTGTGTCAGCTGGCTGTGAGTAATCTAACAAAACTGAATAAATTATCGTTAATTACTTAGCAGTAAACATTTCATTTTTTTCTTCGTTGATATGTTATTTTATTATTATATATTATTATTTGCCGATATATTGGCCGGGCCGCAAAAATATTTGTTGTGGGCCGCATGCGGCCCGCGGGCCACGAGTTTGACATCCTTGACGTACAAGATGGATGAATGATCTATCAGACCGCTGAAAGGGATATGAAATGGAGCAACTTGAAAATGCTGGCTATAGTTATTTTAGTGTAAATTATCAAGTATAATTTTGTAGACCCAACAATGGGAGTTCACTCACAAAATGTCGAAAAAATGTGGGGTTTAGTCAAATGGCATAATAAAAAATAATAGGGCACTGCTTGGCATCTAAAATCAAATTTGGAATTTATGTGGAGGAAAAAAAAATATTCTTGGAAAAATGTTGAAGCATTAGTTTTTAATCTTTTGAGCTGGTTATTCTTAAAAAAGAATAAAATAATAAGAATACATAAATTATGTGTTTTATTCAGTTAATACATTGGTAGTAACAACAACATAGCGATTAGTTGGATTAAATGTATTAAAAATTTAATGTAATTAATTTCAATAAAATATTTTATCTGCAAAATAAAAAATATAAAATAAGCTGTAAAAATAAAAAATATCTGAATTTTAAATTTAGTAAGAAAATCCTTTATAAGCTTTTGAAAGTAATTTTCTTACACATAAAATTGACATTGTTAATATTCTGTATATATGTTAAATTGGGAATAAACGTTTGTAATGATATTTATGATTAATTTTATAATTTTAATGTACACAAATATGGAATTTGTGTAAGCGACACAAAACTGTTTTGGGTAATAAAACTACTAACTAGTATAACTTAAAATTAATGTATTAATTTGTCATGAAATGTGGTTAAATAAAAATTTCATCGATGAAGAAATATTTTTGCAAAATTAAAAATTCTGAGACAATTAAAAGAATAGTAAATAGTATATATATTTTTATAATAATTATACTGTTTTACTTCATTTTTGTCATCTCTAAGTCAAATAATGTAATTTTTAGACTGGGAATTCAGATTATAACTTAATATATCAATGTATTTTTGTTATTAAATTAGTACAGTTTAATATTTTTTAAACCGGTTTCAGAGATATTTTATTAAAAATAAAAAAAAAATTAAACAAGAGTTATTTCCTTATTTGAAAGATAATGAATAATATGTTATTAATTATACAGCCATATTAAAAACGGAGGGAGAACTAATTCTTAATCTTAGCCAGAGCTATTTCAGTACTAGCTGAATTCTTAACTGTTAAAATTGGGTTTACTCAAATTACCTCAACATTTATAATGTTATTCTGAAAATAAAATAAATAAATAGATACATCATATTATTATTTAATTGCTTAATGTATTTTGCATAGGAGTATTTTACAACTGAATTAATTTATAGTACTTGTGTTTTTTAGCTGAGACTGTTGTATTTTGCCGTCCAACAAATTTACAGAAAAATTTGTATAAACATTTTCTACAGTCTAGAGATATTGAAGCCATCTTATCTGAAAATATACAAGTAGACCCCTCTATGCATTTAGTATATATTTCTATTCTCAGGAAATTATGCAACCATCCATTATTAGTGTATCAAGCAGACAATATGCATAGTGATATCAGCAATGTAAGTAGGTATCCTTCAAAAACTCTAGATATACAATTTACTTTATGTAATGTAATATATCTATCTCAGTATGTATACCAAATAATATAATTTTTATGTGATAAAGAGTTGCATAGTTTCGTTTGTTTAATAGAGAACAATATTACCATTCACTGATTTAAATTATGTGCTCATTTGATAGTGATTACTTTTTATCTGTGTTTCTGTCTACTAATTAAGCAAAAAATAGCATCCAAAACGATTTTTGTCTGCATAGGTATTTTTTAATTTATGAGCAAAGTATAATTTGTAAATTGCATATAGTAATTTCCCTTTATTTTTGAAATTGAGATAATAATTTCTGATGCACAAATACTTTGATTCTTTGATTGGGTATATAATTATGAATGAATTCGAAAAAGGAACATGGAGTAGTAGTTTGCATAATTTTGAATAAACATGAATTAATGTTATGTTAAAGGAAACAAAAATCATGTAATGAGTAAATAGTATTTTCTTTATGTATAGTTTCATATATATATATTATAGTCTAAACTTTTGAGTAGAAAGCAGAAGTGTAATACTTTTTTTAACGTAAACAGAAATATTATGGTACTTTCTTATTATCCTTAGTAGAATTGCCGTGTTTTTGTTGTATTTTGTGAGTATTACATGGAACAATAGCCTACCTGTTCATATTCATACCACATACCTAATTAAGTAGGCACAAATTTGCATTTAGCCATCATTCATTGCTCAAGCACCCCCCCTCCAAGTGCACTTTTTTCTTGTAATTTTTTTTTATAAAATGCTTCTTTTTGTTATTATTTATGAACAGAACAATACCTATGAACCAAATAAATGTTTTTTGTCAGTTTATCAGGTTCAATGTTTCTTCTAACCTTCTTCGGAAACATACAATGACCTGACTAGAACAGAGAGCTTACTAAAGCTATGTTCACTAATTGTAGTAAGTAGACAGGATACAGACGAAGGGTATACAAAACCCTTTATTTTTTTCTTTATATACAATGACTTCCGTACTTCGGAATACAATGACCCTCCACTCGGGGTCTAACTTAAAAGATATCATCAAAATAAACTAAACTCTAATTTAACTTTAGAATAAGATTGGCCTTATAATAACAGGAAGCGTATGTAGCACAGAGACTGTGAACACTACAATACGTTTAATTTATCAAGAGGATTAAAACCTCTGGCCTGGAAGGCAAAGTAGCAACTGCGTAACTTCTAAGGTAAGCGGCCTGCTTCGAACTCACGGCTTCCTCTCTTCTGCTTGGCAAAAAGGCCACACTTAAATACTTGGCATTCGCCAGACAACTTTGCATAAACTCCTTCACGCTTATAATTCTGGCCGGAAGTAGAAAATAAGAAGTGATAGTAAAGATTTAAAATAAAATAAACGTTAGTAAAACTTAAGATCCTTACAAGTTCACAAAGTTAGCAGTGAGTTTGCGATTTTTCATGAGTATGCAGATAATCAGTAAATAAACCTAAATGGCGGCTGTTGTACACCAAGCTAAAAAAAAGAGGGGAAAATTTTATATCTCCTGTTCTACTTTACGGATTGTTGAAATTCAACTTGTGTTTTTCACCTCTTGGAAATGTGACTTAGGATGTAAATTAAATTTTTATATAGCATTTTTCTAATATACTTATTTTGACATAAAAATGGACTTTTTCTGAAATGATATGCTGATTTTTTTCCCCCCATATTTTGATTCTGTGACTAAAATTGTGCGTAAATACCAAATTTTGTAAATGTTTAAAGAAAAAACTTAAAGTGAAATTCAAGAATTAAGCTTGGAACTTTTTTTTTTTTTTTTTTTTTTTTTTTCTTTGTGCTAAGAATAATTCGTTTGACAAACTTGTCAGTTTATGGCAACCTATTTCACTTACCCTTTCATTCTTCTTATATGGAAAAACTGTCTCGTTTCACCTTCCTTGGAAGTACTTTTATTTTGCATTATATTTTTTAATCACAGTTCGTATTTTTAGATTTTTTTTTTGTACTTTTTAGAACTTTATTTTAATTGTTTGTGTTGCATGGCTGAATTATATTTCTTCAAAAATTATGTAAAAAGAATTCTGCTTATTCATTCAAAGTGTGCATTTTTTAAATATATTTTTAATATGTATGTTTTCAGAATTGGTTTTTATTTATTTGAACCACATTTCCTTTCTAAAGAGTAATTTGTGACCTTTATACTATATGCTATGTTGCATTTGAAAACTGCATGCATTAATTAAAGAAATACAGTTAAAGACAGCTAATACTTCTTTCAATGGAGTTAAAGCCTCTTCCATTCTCAAAAGATGTATAAATGAGAAATATGTGTAATTTTAGGAAGAAATGTGTATATTGTAACAATTAAAATACTATTAACATCTCACTGATGCACATATTTCGTTGGCATTGAAAAATTACTTGAAAAGTACAAAAATCTTACCTTCTTGTACAGAAAGCTTCACATTCCCATATCACTAATCATCACTTACTCAGCAATAGCGCCATCAATGAACAGTAAGACAAAATGGAAACTTCCAGTGATGCAATTATAAACAAGAATGCAGATGGTTCTCATAAAAATTCATTAAGTTGCCTATTGACATGGAAAAAAACTGTGTTATTAAGGACTACAATAACAAATGTTTGTAATTCAAAAGGAAAGAGAATTGCAGTTCGCGTTATTATTGATAACAGCAGCCTATCCATGGATGCCAACTCTCAATTTCAAATGTCCCTAGATATATCTGCAAAAGTAGCTAAAAATTCGCTAAATAAAAAATTCGCTTAAAGTAGTAACTAAAATTTAAAAAAAAAAGTATAATCCATATTCCATAATAGGTTTTGTTACTTATCATTATTTAAACTGAATCTTCATAAAAATATAAATAATGTCCCAATTTTTCTGTAGACCATTAAAACGTTTCACGGACCACTGGTTGGTGACCGCTGACCTAGACCATGTTTCGCATACATTTCTTTCCTTTAAACTGATTTCTTTGGGGTGTTCGGATTTCATTTTTCTCAGTGTAATTTGGACAGTTTTGAAGACCAGTAAATGACATATTAAAGAGCATATTTTTGAAATTATCTGTAACGGTATAAGGAAAAAGTAGCTATTGGAAAATTTCTTCATAAAAAGATTATTATTATTATTATTTCCAGTGGCTAGGCAAAAAGTTACAAATAAAATCTTAGAGGTTACAAACAATAGAACTGAGAACAAAAGACCGAAGTCATTGCCTAAAGAGCGTTCTTGCCTCCCAGTATCTCGACTCTTCTGTAAGAACACAAAGAGCCCCACGTTTGGGCAGATGTTCCCTGTCAATTTTTTCCTCCAAAACCACAAACTGGGCAAATAGTATCACCTATGTGGTGCAGGTATGCAGCAAGGCAATAATCTCCTGTAGACAGATGGAAGCTGCAAATGCACTGTGTCTTGGACTATCGGGAAGGAGAAGGACTTAATATTCTCCAACTTTTTAAGGCTTTATGAGTATAAAGACCTCGTAAGATATTAGATGTAAATAATTTTTTTAAAAACAGTTTAATCCTCCAATAAGAAATGGCTGTATTAGGATGTTGTAGTAAGCTAGCTTCTCTTTTTGTAAGGAAGTCTGCTTCTTCATTGGCCCAATGGCCACAATGGGCAGGCATTCCATTGGAGAACGATTAAGAGGATTAATATAAAAATTTATATTTCATATATTTTTGTTAAAGAGACATGTCTAAAACTGTCAAACTTTTAAAGCTCAGTTTATTTTGTTAAATGTTAATTTGAAACTATATGCTATGAAATAGGTATATCGTGCATATAATTTTCATTGTGTTGTAAGAACTGAAGAATCAGTCCAAACATAGTCATGTTTCAAAAAGCTAAAACTATAGGGACATACCCCTTAGAAACAAATACTGAAACTTCAGCTTTTAATTAGTGTCAGTTTCAATGACTAACAGTCAAATTCCTAGTTCTGAAAACCATTCCATCCAAAATTTTTAGTTATTGAAGTTCAGATAGCCAAAGTTTTAGTGTATATTCACAGTATGACAATTAAGTAATCAGAGTGTATTTAAAAAAATAGAAATATTGTAGAATGTATACATTTATGCAACTTTCTATTTTAATGCAAATGTGACAGATATTTGAAAAGAAGGCTTGTAGATGTTTATTTTTAGCTCAGTTCTAAGAGTAGATATTCATTACTTTTATTCTCTTCCAAGTAAAAAAATAAAAAGCTTTGCTTTGAGAATCAGCTTTAGTTTTAGGGAAGTGAAAATAATCTCAAGAAGACAGATCTGGAGACATGCGAAATGACTTTTTTTGACACAAACGTTTTTTCAGACAAAAGTAGCTTCAGGTAGTGGTTATTGACTGATGGAAAGATAAATTGTCATGTAATGCAACACATTTGGAATAACAGTTGTAAAATGAATAACGTAACATTAATAATCACCTGCTTAATTCTCAGCTATTTAAGATTAAATTGCTCAGCTAAGCATTTAAAATTGTAGAATATTTTGACACATCACATTGTAAGATAAATTTAATGTCACTTATCTAAAGATCTAACTCCTGTTTAATCTTCCCTGAAGGTAGGAAAATAAGATGATAAAGATAAGGCTAAAGATAAGTTAATAATCTTATCTTTAACCTGGATTTCAACAACACTAAAGGAATACAATAATAACGAATATAACTGAACATTCATTTGCACTACAGTTTACAAAGCAATACACTTAAAAGTTTACAAAATAATGCAAACTCTGCTTTTAGCAAATGAGAATATAATAATATTTTAAATATTTACAAACTGAATAGTAAAGTAGAGACTAATACCCTGGCTCCTTGCAAAACTATACAAAAGCCATTGAATACTGATAGTTCATCCCAGGTTCAAACCCAGGCAAATGGGCTGGTTGCATTTTCAGTTTCCTGTGTATAATGCAATATGAGCTAGTTTCCCTTACCAAGTCCTATCACAAAAGTATATCT